ATGAGTAGCTTTGAAAATATTTGACAAATTTCAATTAAATGGTTGACTGGGTTGTTTTTATGGGGACAAGCATTTCGCACCTTTATTACAGGTAATTATTACCGTAATATTAACAATTACCTAAATACCTGTATATAGATAGACACCTTATCGAATTATACATTAAAATACCACACAGGGCCCTTCCGCGCGCTTTGGCTTCCATGCAGAAAACAGGAAAACTGTCTATTATATTTATTTAATTATATATAGACATCTATAAATATTTTTAAAAAGATACTCTTTTGCTTTGTATACTTTTTTTTTAATTTTTAATTTTTTTGATTGGAGCTTGATAAAAAGTGAAAACTAAATTGCTTAAGTGATATAAAAAAACACACACACACACACAGATGCTCTAACATATTTTGGGATGGAGTTGACAACTGAAATTTGAAAGGCGATTTAAAATATTAGTAAATTGTGAGACTTGGGCCCACGTGGAACAGCTTTTTAAATACGATTCCTTTTTAGAAAATTATTTGTATATGCGATTAATATGTTTCATAAAATAATAAATCATTCAAAATGTGAGTCACGGAAGGATGTATTTTCTATTTCAATATCTTTGTAAAACACAAAAGGAAACAAATATTTCACATTCAAAAATTCCTATTTGATATTTGAGAAATATATTATACTGGGTCAGAGAAGAAAAATATATATTATGTACTTTTAGAGATATTTAGTATAACTGGGTGGAGTAATATAAACTAAAACACGTCATACTAAATGGAAAATGGCTACTAATATATCGGGACGACATTTCGAAGAGTATTCTCTCAGCGTTATCAAGCTAATACGTTGACAGAATTCTCCTGAAAACGCCGCCCAAATATATAAGTAGCGTTTTTTCATAAGTTTGTGTTTTAGTTTCTTAGTTTCTTTAAAAATATATATTATGTTATATACTTCCCCGGCCCTGTAATATAGATGGCATATTTCCCAGTCTGCTGTTGTCAATAAAATATTGGCCAATATGTCACTGCTTAAAATTTATATGAAATGTTACAGGATGCTGTGTGTTTATAATGTTTATCTGAAGATATAAATTATTGTTGACAAATTTCTGTCTCTGTCTGTCAGTAAAGATTGTTTCTGTTTATATCTATATAAGTATACAGATACTTATATACTTATATATATAGTTCAGATGTTATATAAGTCTACTTTAGCTGCAGGGGTCATTGGATGACCTGCCAAATACATCATTAAGCATCCTAGTAATTAACACGTTCTATTTCATCGTGATTAAACACGTTTTAATGACTTTTGTTTTAAGCCGTATCTGTTTAATGAAGTAGAAATGAAACCAGTTAAGGAACATGACATCTTAACTATAATCATCTTGAAGAAATCGGTTTTATATCATTTACAGATTAATCCGAATTAAAGCGACACGAGCAGATAGTAGGCATTTGGTGCCTTCGCTGGTTAGAAATAAAATACTTTTCGACTTTACAGTTGTATAATTATAATCATCTTGGGTTTATATCTTGTTTTAATTAGCCCAATTGAAGCAGAATAGTAGGACGTTAAACCCCATTTCATTCTTTCATTATATCATTTATAGATTTATCAGAATTAAAGCGACACGAACAGATAGTAGAATTGTATTTAAACAGGCATGCGATGTTTTGCTGGTTTGTAACCAAATAATTTTCGGGTATGTTCAAATTAAATTGTAGATTGCCGAGATATACACGTTCTAACTTGCAAAGTACGAGTCGTGTCAGTTTTTGTAATTTTCAAGTACGTTTGTATACGGTTTAATTACCTCTAACGAAAAAGATTTTAAGTAGGTCAGTTATATGTTACCTACTAATTTCGGGTGGGATGAAAAACGAGGCCCACCATCCGTGTACAGGTTGGCCTGCACGTAAAACAACCCATGACAATTGGAATTTGATGTAGAGTAAACGAAAACGCCACAACCCTGGCCAAAATTCCCCTTCCTGGCATTGCAAGCGAAAACAGAGGAAAAAAACATTTTAGTCTGAAAATGACTGAAGTATTGTGTTGACGAAACGTTCAACTCAATTTCTTTCCTTTCCCTGATTTATTTATGAATATTGATATTATATTATTTTCTTGTAACGTGTTTTATGTAATACAGTTTTTTCTATATTCCCGGGTGGTCATTAATGTAAACAATAACACTAGTTTACCTAATAAACTACTGTTCTAAAAACACATTGAATATCCGAAACTACACATCAAAATACCACCTTGTTTTGAAATAAAACAATCCATAATTTCAACAAATAAAACTGTCGGATGACTACTACTAATAAATTAAGGGCAAAATATTTTTGTTTCGGTAAAATAATATTATTCTCTAAATGCTAACACAGGATTAATCTAAATGGTTTAATTTCCTCGGTCATAAACAAATACGCATGACATGATGCAAGATATATGACGTAGTTTTATGAGCGTTTGTGAATGGAGGGATGTCCAGCCGCGTGTGATGACGTATTAGTGGTCACTGAATGACCTACAAGTAACCGGTCAGATTACCGTTGTAAAATTTACGACTTTGAGTGACATAATGGTGGTTGATATTGAGAGTTGTTTGTTTTATGCTTCAACTAACAAGAAGAAGTGTTTTGTTGTTTAGTTCTATGTTTGGTAAACATTATTAATTCAAGGATGACTGTGGTAGAACATTAGTTTATTGCACCTTGTCAATTTGCCTGTCAAACCACATAGTGAGAAATTAGTCTCTTAATTTCACATTAAATAATAAAAAAGCTGACTTATTTGACTTTAATTTTATACCATTCATTATTATACAGCTGTTTGACATTGTATTTCTTCAATAATTTCTGGGTTGATTTGGAGAACTCAAATACATGTAATCAACACGTTTGACAACATATAAAATAAAATTTTAATTTAGCAGGATTTGAGAGAGAGAGAAGGAGAAATGGGGTTTAATGTCCACTCGACACAAGCTAGACCATTTCGGGACTAACATAAGGCTCAATTTTATTTCAATAATTCGCTTGCGCTTAGGGGTCTTTAGCAGTGGGAGGAAATCGGGGACCCATAGAAAACCAACGATGTTGCGCAAACAACCCTATTTCTTGCCATGTTCAAGCGGGGAATCGAAACCATACCATTCGACTCAATGATAGACCTTGTGATTTCACGCGCACGCGTTACACCACTAGACCAAAAGCCAGATTTGACTACTAGGGGCAATAAGGTTTGAGAAATCTGGGTTTCCGAAAGCACTTATAACTATTACGTAGTGTTAGTTCCATGTAAATCACCCCAGATTATCAGTAAATCGATTAATCGGTTAATAATGTTTGATTTCTATCTATTCTTAATCTATTTCAACAACAAAAAAATTAAAAAAGAGAGAGAAGTAATCTCGATTATCATTCCAAAACAAAGTCATGATTTGTCCCAAAAAATTAAAAACAAAAGATAAGTAATTTCGATTATTAATCGATTAATAATGTTGGATTTCTATCTTCTTCATTTTTTTTTAAATCTATTTCCAAAAATTAAAAAAAAGAGAGAGAAGTAATTTCGATTATCATTGTTTCCAATAATGCTAATGGTGTGGGGTATATTTTCTGTTTAGGGCCCACAATCCAAAGTTTGAGATTTCCTTGTGCCCCCTTTTTTAACTTTCAAAATTCTATTTGACTTTTTATATAGCGTTAAAATGGATTTTACGTGTGATAAATTTAACTAATATTTTAAGGCTAAATTTTCTATGTTTTCAGGCGTACAGGCTACAAGGGGCCCTCGAGCTTAGGGTCTAAATCCGACACTGATTTCAGCGTGAACCAATTTTATAACTATACTTATTTATAGGTGTCTTTTTAGAAATAATTTTACACATAATTTCCTAATAATATAATTCCAAACGAATTCATTCAAAATTTGATATCTCACATAAACTCATTAGATTTATCCAGGGAAAGTTCTTTAACAATGTTTGGAAGATGGATATTTGGGGGGATTTGGAGGGGGTTAGGTTCCTTTGGTGTTTGCTCCAGGGTGAATGATTTAGTTAATGATTGTAGATGGATTTGACAAACGGGCACGTGATGTCACTGGATGAGTCTCATAGACATTTCAAGTGTAATAAACTTAGCGAATTTCGTAATAAGTAAAGATTCTATTGTTCGTAGAGCCTGATCTCTTACAACAAATTTTACCTCCGAGAACATATACCAGCACGAAGCGACCGCTCAAACATCCAATTTACTGTACTAGGAATGTAACTAATAGAACATTTCTTATCACCGGAGAGAGAGAGTGGGAGAGTATCAGCGTCCCAACTCACTTATGATAGTCGTAAATTACTTTCGTCAATATCAGCTGTGTGAGTTATGGGGTGGGAAGTGAAAAAAGATGGAGTTTTAGCCTCTCAAATAGGTTATTTTAATGAAAGAATGTGTAACAGAGTTGAAAAGAAATTCAATATTCCACACAAATTTGACACTAACAGTCTATAACCATTGTTTAACAAGGTATCCATGGTTACAAATAACCCTCAACCAAAAAACGAAAAAAATAGTTAATTCTCTTCGAACTAATAACCGACGTACATTTCTCTCTAGAAATTGTATTTTTGCTTATTTCAAGGAGACTGAAAAAAAAAATACACAGAAGCAATTTGTTAAAACGAAAAGACATGCGTTAAATTGAGAATAACAAATTAGACGATGTGGCTGCAATTCAAATATGACCTTTAAAATAGCACTGAATATACCATCAATAACAATAATAGTATACATTTTCTAAAAAAATGTTCTTTTTTGTGGTATTTTTAATAATAAGGAAGCATATTTCAGCAATTTCTATGTACATACACAGTAAGATAGATCGTATGTTTTCAGCCCAGTGGTAACGGTGTAGCTTGAAACTGAGGGTAAAGTGCAGCCAGGGTGATAGATAGACAGACGACGGCTCTCGGTGTAGTGTAATTGATAGGCTGGTCCCAATCTCACTTAACAGTCTAACTTCAACTTCTGGTTATGGCTACAGCTATTAAATAGTTTAGCGGACTATTTTCTTTTAATCTGTTACACTGCTTAAAAGGATTATCTAATTTCTTTAACATCTACTTGCTGTATTACGACACGACTTCAGGTTGGTTGCTACAAATTCTCTATTTTTATTAACAACGAAACGAAACGTATAATTAGCATTGTTGGCGGGGTTAATTCATGCGTACAGCTGGTGAAAGAGAAACTCAAGCCATATTTTGTTTTGAGAATTAACATAGAATATTATAATACCATACTGATTTATTATAACTTTGTATGATTCAATACCGTACCCGAATGAACTTAGTACCTTTTTAAAACTATAAAATTATGATAATATTTATAATATCTAATAACGAGGTATTTAAACATATTGTTTTTGACCTTCATATGGACTGCTTTATGTTTTTCAAATCTAACCGACTTGATTTCATTATCACCTTCAAATAATGTCATCACGTGCGTCGATGACCATTTGTACGAAATAACCCTTTCTGTTCCTCCGAATGTAAAGATTTTAGTTTGTTTAAATTTTGAATAATTTGAACTTTCGCCGTGTCTTCAATAAAAAATGTAACTGAAATGGGTAAAATGTGAAAGGTGTGGTCTGTTCTGTTTTTAAGATAGAACTGAAGGACTAAACGCACCATGATAAAAACTTTACATTCATTGAAACAGAATCCCAAAACATGTAACTCCACTAACAATCATTTTGTTCTCCCTCTCCTTACATGATCCACGTCCAATAATTTTGTTATTAATTATGTTGTAATGTATGTGTGTAATTCCGATAAATTAATTCAAGCAGAATCCAAAAACATGTACCCCAAAAATTATTATTCTGTCTTCCCCTCTACATGCTCCAAGTCCAATAATTGTGTTATTAATTATGTTGTAATGGGTAGGTATTATACACCACATCGTGGATATAACTGTATGAGTGTAGCGAGCCAATTAGAATATATATAAATATGACCACCTGTGTATTAAATAACATAGACTATATAATAACATTCATATCTATATATAATCTAATGACGAGGCGCGACCAATAAAAATATCTATAATGTCAATGTATCAACCACATAAATTAAAAACTGTGCTTGCTTTATAGAACTATATATAGTATATTGGTATAACATAAAATTCAATCCGTGAATCCCCCAGCGCGCCTAGTAAACATACCCAGCATCGTGCACGATATTCGTTTCTGCGAAATTATATAATGGAAACTCCTCTAGTTACTGCTTTAAATCATATATCTATATTTTTCTTATACCTTAAAATAGAATGAGAAGTTTTGAAAAAAAAGTTAAATTATGACATTGGATTCATCGTTAAACACTGTTCCTCTAAAATATATCCTACAAAACTGTATTATTGTTCCTCTAAAATATATCGCACAAAACTGTTTAATTGTTCCTCTAGAATATATTCTATACAAAAGTTTATTATTGATCCTACAAAACTGTTTTATGCGTCTCTTAAATATATCCTACAAAATTGTATTGTTGTCCCTACAAAACAGTATTGTTGTTCTTACAAAACTGTATTGCTGTTTCTCTAAAATATATCCCCAAGAGTTTAAAAGTGTTCTAATAAAACTGTATTATTGCTCCTCTAAAATATATCCCCTAGCAATGTATTATTGTTCCTGCAAAAGTTTATTATTGTTCCTTTAAATATATCCTGTAATAGTTGATTGAAAGGTTTAATTTATCTAGATTTATATTATTAAGAATAATTTGTAGATAGAGATCATTAATAGACAAGTATATTCTTTATGATTTATTTTTGTAAATTATTTCATATTTTACACAGTTTTCTTCATAAATTATTTTGTCTTTTGTATTATTATTTAATAATGATTAATGATGAGGGTGGAGAGGTGGATTTCCTACAATTTGAAAAATTATCATTAATAATGTTAAAATAATTATAATTTTTGGTCATTTTATAACCTAAATCCCAATCTATTTTATTACACATTTGAGAAAATCTTAAACCGCTTATCACTTTTTGAGAAGTTCGTATAGCTAAAGACTTTTCTTGTACTATATGCATTTAATTTTCTTGTTCTATGAAGTTTTATCAAAGGTATATAGGAAGGAATGTACATACACGAATAATGAATAATACAGTGCATAGGAAACAAACAAAAAAACATAGTCATAGGACTATCCCCACCTTATAAAAACGAAAATATGCCTTTAAACTAAATAATAATACATGAACAATAAACTGAACAGGAAAGAAACAGACATATATAAGAAGAGTTTTACAACCCTATCAAAACTAAAATCTGTCTTTGATATAAATATATATTTTATACTTTTGAATCAAGTACATGTATTCAGTAATATGTATACTCTCAACATATCTTCCCTGATCAGATCAATTCCATAATAAACTTCTCTATAAATCTCCCACTCCCTCCACGAGTTAAATCCTGGCTTTAAGAAACTGATTCTATAGACAATGGTGTAGGATTAACTGTCAATATTGACTAAATGCAAGATAGAAGAGGTCAAAGGTTATACGACCTAAAGATGAACCTAGGTATTTAAAATCTACACCTGCTAGATAGAAACACTACACCATGCACACGGAATTCACTCTATAAAGAATCCCTTTAAGTGCCGAATTGGATCCAGGCTCGGCCGGAATAAAAGACGAATTGCTTAAATTTAACAGACTTTTTCTCTTAAATATTAGTCGTTTGTGTCAGCGATTTTGTTCTAGACATATTCATTAAAATGATACGAATGTCTTTTGTGATATATAATTTATCACCCAAGAACCTAATTATCTGTAAGATTTTGTAAAAGTGGGTGAAAAAAATACACATTAACAAATAAAACAAAGCATCATAAACATAAAGTGAGATCTATGCAAATTAGTGAATCTAATTAGTGAAATTTACCATGCAAAATAGTGAAATTTGTCATGCAAAATAGTGAAATATTTATCATGCAATATAGTGAAATATTTACCATGCAAATTCGTTAAATATTATGGAATATAATTAAATATTTACAACGAAAAATAGTTAAATATTTACAATGCAAAATAGTGAAATCTTAATCATGCAATATAGTGAAATATTTACCATGCAATATAGTGAAATAATTACCATGCTATATAGTGAAATATTTGCTATGCACTCTCGAATCGTTGTTACAAGGGACCCCTCAATTAGGAGTATATTTCATTTTCTTTGATCAGTCAGAAATTTAAATAAATTCCGAATTTGACAGATAAACCCCGTAAACCAGAAATCAGGATAACAACACTTTTCACAAATGCCTTCTTTACTTTTGATATCCATGGTTAGGAATCAAGATTACATTATAATAGAATTATCTACAGAGCTCAGTTCATATTTGGTGTTAAAGCATATGCGATGATGGTCTCACTTGCTGCACGATCCGCATTGAAGAAGGGTATTTAACGTCCTGCTTTTCTGCATCAACTGGGCTAATGAAGACGGTTGAAGAAAGGGGTCATAAGGGTTATAAAATAAAAACATAGAATTTATCAGCATCTCCTATTTCTGGGGAGCATAGATAAATGGAATGGGAAATGTTTTTTAAAAAACGCGTACGATTTCAACCACATCTTCTTTCTGTTGATAAAGTCCAGGGCGCAAACGTAATTGAGCTGCACTCCCCATCACATGGAATGTAAATCGTCATTTCAGTATTAATTCAAAACCATACAAATAAGATGGTTTTAATTTCTCAAAATTTATATTTATTTATCTAAGTTGTTTCCCAAATACAGACCACATGGAGAAAGTTACCCCTCATATACTGCGCAGAGAAAGTTACTTCTCAGTTACTGCACAGCGAAAGTTACCTCTCTGATACACTGATACTGCACTCAGAAAGTTACCTCTCAAATACGGCACTCAAATATGTTACCTCTCAAATACTGCACTCAGAGAGAAAGTTACCTCTCAAATACTGAAAGTTACCTCTCAAATACTGCACTCAGAGAGAAGGTTACCTCTCAAATACGGCACTCAGAATGTTGACTCTCAAATACTGTACTTATAGAGAGGAAGTTACCTCTCAAATACTGCATTCACAGAGAAAGTTACCTCTTAGAAACATCAGCCAACGAATTCGACATGAAATTTACACAAAATCACAATAGGTATTTTTCTTCTATGGAAACACGTTTGCAAGAACTTTTAATAGTTTTGACAAATTGTGTGGTATAATGTACTTATTTTATTTGTCTGTTTGTAAATTGTGGCTATTTTGAAGTTGATCAGAAATCAGTGGTTTAAAGTGATCAAGTTGGAGTTGTTAGTCATGCAAATCGATCACTTCTGTCGCCCCAGACGGGTGGTCATAATTTTGATCTATTTGACTGAATTTGGTTGAATTGCATAATAAAGGAAGAAAGAGTTATAAAATGAAATATATTTAATAGATTGTACAGAATAAATGTTTTAACAAACATAATTTTAACAATGTCATTTATATTTAAGCAGAAAAGGACATGATTATTAAAAGGGCATTAAGTAAGATTAGATAAAGAGCTGAGAGTTATCACTATAATAGTTAAGAAATAAATGCTGAAAATTTCAAATTGCTTCACTCTGAACCGAGATATTACTGATTCGATTAGTTGATGCGATAATAAACAAAAGTCTCGATTATCTGTTTTTACGTTAATTCATAAATCACAAAACTTATTCAAATCCACGAAATATCACAGGATAACGATGGCATCGAGAGTTGATTGTGCTCTTGGTAGGTTAATTAATGTCTAATTAATAATTTAGATAACATTTAAGGCCTAAAGAAAGACCAACAATAGTCAGATTAAGCTCTTGCATAATTCATGTTTAATTAACGGGTATTATTGACCCAAGCATAGAGGACAATTTCGCCCCTTCAAGACTGCCCGTCCCTTTCGCCACTCGTGTAAACCCATGGCTTAAAAGCCAAATAGTGATTTGGAAGCCATGTGAAGGAGACAGTGGACGGACGCAATTTTGAACCCTTAATACTACAATGGATAGTGTGGAACAAGTATCAACCCACACAGAACTGCACGTACATATGATCCATAGTGCCAAAGTTAAAATGA